CTCGGCTGGGGTTTTGGGTTGGGACATCGGCCTGGCTGGGGTGTGCCGGAAAAAGAAACGGCCGCACCTAGCATGATTGAACGTAACTGATCTCCAACTTTGGCGCAACGCCTCGTCACCCACGTGAACCTACCTCATCCTACCTCCCTGCTTTCGACAGCACGGAAACTGCAAAGGCCAAGTTGACCGCGAGCCAAGACAGGGGGTCCCTGGCAGGACACATCCAACCTCTAAAGCAGATACTCGTCTTGTTTTCGAAACCGACCGGGCGTTTTCAGGACGTAAGACGGGCGTGCCATAAAATGGGGTCCAAAAAGCGTGCTCAACAGAAAGCCTGCTCATGAATGAAGAAACCCTGAGGCGATGCACTGCCCATGTTTCTTCTGCGGCGAGGCAACTGCTTTCCAATCGGCCCAAAGGCGGACCGGGTGAGCCGGTCTCCCCGCGGCGGGGCATCTAATGAGTCTAGAGTCCCGAACCTTTGGTCCAGGACTTGGCCGCACGTGCGCGCGCCTGTTCTGGGGCTTCAAGCCTCCTGCAAGACATCCGCGGGATGCTCTGCAACCTTGTCTGGCCGCCAACTCTAAAGAGCACTTCACATCGCCGCATCCACCTTCTTTCCTGCTTGCTCGGCTTGTGCACCTCCTCAACGCAGGGCTTGGACTAGTCGGAGCCTAAGCGCCCCAGCCCGGCTACTCGCTCGCGTGGGATCGGTACAGGCGCACACGAACGCGCTCGTGCAGGAGCTCCCCCTCCAGGTTCCATCCTGCAGGAAGCCAAACACATCCGTGACCTGTGGAAGTCAAACATGCGCAGATAGGAGCTAGACTAGGCCTCTCCCGTCCGCATTTTGCCATCCAGTCATATGGTACCCCCTATTTGTATTCATTAGTTAGATTGAAAAACACCCCAGAAGAGACCCCAAACAGTTCAGAAATGACGGGCAAGCACAAACATGCCAACAGCTTGTGGCTTTCTGCGCTTCAACACGGATGAATCTAAATGACGCAGTCGTGAACCTGGCACGCGTTGTGTCGCTGCACGTGTGTTGCTGGCGTGCTTCGCGCTTCAGCATCGTGCCGGAACTGAGGTTGGGCAAGAGCGTGCGATAGCCGAGCGCGCGCGCGTGAATGCAAGTGTGGCTGCGCAAGCGCGCGGTCACATGGGCAGTTGAGACACACATGTCCAACTCAGACACACACACACACACACACACACGTGTGTACAAGTGGGACACACGTATGTATACGACTGAAACAGCACACGCGGCACGCGCAGATGTGCACCCGTGAACACACACATGTACATTCACCTGCGGCACACGCATAAATGTGTTGAGCTGGAACACACACACTGTATACCTGGAACAACATATGTGTTCACCTACGGCACGCGAATGTGTTCACGTGCAACACACGTGTGTGTTCACCTGGAACACAATGAAACGCCTGTCCAATTTCAGAATTGAATTTCACCTGGAACACAAACATGTGAGCGGTCAAATGCAAAGCGCCCGTGTTCAGAACGCGCCGATGTGGTCAGCTGGAACTGTGGGGTTTCAAAATTATGGATTTAAGCTAATTTCGAGGTCCGACCCGTGCACTTAAGCCCTGCTCCGGTGTCCGCACCTCTGATCGGAGCACATGTCAGAACCGGGACACGATTGAATGTTTGTTGTTGTTTTTGGGCACTCGTGAAAACAATGCAAAAACCGGCTGCGCTATAGAAAGTGCATTTGGCAGCAACAATGGATGCAAACGCCTTCGTCAAAGCAATTTACTACTGGAAGGGCAGCCTGTCAAAATCCTGTGAAGTCACTGTGTTGCGTTTTTTAATGCTGAATTTCCCGGAGGGCAAAATCGCTGAGTCAAGCAATCCTTAAACAATATGGATTTAAGGGGTCGCGTGTACTTAAGAGTCGGCCCGTTTTCTGAAACCACGGAACTTTGCTGATTTTCAGAATTTGCAAGATTCGGTGGCTCTTCGTGTGACAAGAGCAATTTTTGTTGAAACATTGAGCAACCTTAGCGTGGTGGGACCGAGCCGTGTCGCAATCAAAAACGTTGCATGTCAGAAGTGCACAATGTTGTTGTTTTTTCGCCGTGGTGGCACATAGTGCTAAATGGGGAGCGATGGCAAGGATTAGTGGGAATGCATGGATGATGGTTGATAGTTTATAGTTTAGAGTGAAGGCCCTGAGAATGGGGCTCAGTTCAGCGCTAAGCATATGGAGATGGTGCTAGCTCCTGCCTTGATCACCGGGGCCACATTCCATAAGCACGGCCAGCCAACAATGTTAGTGCAGCCAAATTTTGTTGAGCGCAGACGAATTTCCTTTAGCACGTGCAATAAAATTGTTGTGGTGCAGCCGGACCCCCGAATTTAAGCTAATTAGCCGGCAGCCAAAATTCCTTAAGTGCAGCCAAAGTTCCTTAAGTGCAGCCAACATTTCCTGGAAATGTTCAGTGCAGCCAAAGTTCCTTAAGTGCAGCCAAAATTCCTTAAGTCCCGGAAAAAATCCTTAAGTCCGGAAAATCCTTCATTCCCGCCAACTGAAAATTTTCCGGGAAAATCCTTAATTCCGGATTAATTAGCTTAAATTCAGGTGGGGGGTTGACTTAAGGATTTTGGCCTTTGCCCGAGATGAAGTCCGGGGTGAAATTAGAGTTTTTTCAAGCTACAAAACGTTATTTTGGCAATGAAAAACATTAATTTCACCTCGAACTTCATCTCGGGCAAAGGCAAAAATCCTTAAGTTCACCCGCCCCCCCTCCCCCTGAATTTAAGCGAGTTACTCCGGAATTAAGGATTTTTCCGGAATTAAGGATTTTTTCCGGACTTAAGGAATTTTGGAGGGAGTGAATTACGGATTTTTCCGGAATTAAGGATTTATCCGGACTTAAGGAATTTTCCGGGACTTAGGGAATTTTGGCTGCACTTAAATGTTGGCTGCACTTGGGGAATTTTGGCTGCACTTGAGCCATTTTTCCTGCCGGTTAACTAGCCTAAATTTGGGCGGTGCGCTTAAGGAATTTGATCCGCACTTTAGCCGCACTGAAGGCATGTTGGTTGAGCCTTGCGCTAAACTTTGGTTGGCTGTGCCGAAGTTAAAGTCACTTGCGCTGCGGCGTATGTTGAATCTCAAGCCGGCAGAGCAAAAGTTGTGAGAATGCTGGTCTCGCAGTAAAGGCAAGCCGGATAATTGCTTGCGTGACAGTAGCAATTTGCACCGTCTCCTGATACATGGGCTCAGTTGTTGATGTTCCCATTCACCTCAGTTCCACCTTGCGCCACTTTGTTTGATGTATGGGCCTGCCTTTTTCGACCTTGAAACACGTGAGTACATGTTTATTTGATATTGGGCCTTGCTGCAGTGAATTGCTTGGATCCATGGGTTTTTCCCTGGGGGTTCTGACAAAGGCTGGCGCTGAAACAAATCCCGAAAACATGTCTATCCTCACCAATTGTTCACACCCTGCTTCAATCGGGCAAACCGCGCCAGAAACGTGCAGCGGGCGACCTTGATAATTAGCTTACATCCATAATTAGCCCCCCACAAACTGATTCCCTCAAATGGTCTGGTCTGAATGCCCCTGACAGTGTACACTGATTTTGCTCTGGTTTGCAACATGCGTGATCTGAGTCAGAAAATGAAAAAAACATTCGCCGGGTGTGAGTCAACAAGGCAATGACATCAAGTCCGTATTTTGCAATGTTCCAACAATAAATAGCCTTTTCGGGCTGTTCCATTGGATTTCAGCAACACTGAAAAAAGCCCCACCCTTAAGTACACGGCCCCCCCTTAAATCCACAATTTTGAAAGCCAACAGCTGGAACACACCAAGAACACACAATCATTCACTTGAAGCACTCATGCGTGCGTCCGCAGCATGCTGCCTGTGGCTTGATCAAGCGCACGCGCTCGCGCTCAAACACGCGTTTCTGAGCCTCAAACACACATGCGTGCCCGCGGAATACACCGCAAATGAATCCGTCCACCGAGGGAGCCGTGCCAGGCATCCAGGCTGGATGACAACGGGGACACATAGAGGGAGACAAAACAAAAGACAAAGGAATCCGTCCACCCACAGAGAAGTGCCAGGCCAGGCATCCAGGCTGGGAGACAACAAGAAGGAGACAAAGGAACCTGTCCACTCAGCCGTGCGAGGCACCACCAGCAGGAGGCAAATGAAGGGCCAGGCTGGGAGACAACGGGGGACAAATGAATCTGTTTATCCAGAGAGCCGTGCCAGGCATCCAGGCTGGGAGACAACGGGAGACAAATGAAGGGAGACAAAGGGAGACAGATGAACCGTCCACCAAGAGAGCTGTGCCAGGCATCCAGGCTAGGGCTTGGCAATAGGCGAGCCACTTTAAATGAATTTAGAACCTCTCACAGCAAACTGCTTGGGGGAATACTGTCAATAAATAAGCTCATGTGATATCCCCAACAGCATGCAGCCCTTGCAGAACCTCGTGGAACCCTCGTTGGAACTCTGGCGGAACCCTGGTGGAACCCTCGTGGAACCTACCTAAGGGCCGCCCCGGACCACCCCGGGAATAAATATGCGCTCTATTTAACAAAAGGAAACTCAAATCATAAAATCCACTTCATCAAGGTCATGGCCAGATGTATAGAACCATAACTACTGAAATTCAACAAGGAAAATGATTATTGGAACCGAACTAGAAATATAATTTATCTGATGCAGAAGATTTAAACAAAGCATACACAAATGGCAAGGGGTCTTATTTAAACAACAAAATAATATGTAGCAGGCACCTTTTGGTAAGAAGAATATCTACAACTAATGATAGTGCTTCTGATGCTGCAATTCCTTTCGGTTGAAGTTCAGACAGTGAAGGATATAGAGATATTAGTAATATACTTGATGAAAAATTATACTATATCAGAGAAATACATCAATACACAATATAGCAACCACGGCAACCTCAAAATAGCAGAACTCTGCGCAATTATTATCACGAATTATGCAATA